AGGGAAAGATGGGACTAGTACAGCCTTGTGTACTCCTTTTGCTGTCATTGGGAGAGATCTAATCCAAGCTTATTAAAAGTGAATAACCCTTCCAAATTAGTAATGAATAATCTTGTTCATGCCTAATACTGTTTTAAGAGTCTTTGGGAAGAAGGAAAAAAAAAGTAATGCAGAATTGAACTTGTGCCTCTTCAGGGTTTGCAAGAAGTATTTACCAGGAAGTATCTGATAGAGCACAAATACGTACTGCTAGTACAAATTTTGATGTTTTACAATGGTTACTGAGTGTGCAGATCTCTTTTGATTCTGACAAAATCTATGTAGAATCTGAAGTCTTTTCCTTTTTTCTGTATTGCATTTGAGTTACATTTTTTCCTAAAAGATAATTTGCAGTGGTTTAATATTTGATATAGTCTCTTGGCTTCATTCTTTTATGACTCATTTCCTCTTGTTTTATTCTTCTCTCAATGTTAGCTTGATACTTTGCTGTGTTTTCCTTTTATGCACTGGTGGCAGTAGAAAGCTACAGAATAGTTGTGTTACAGAGCATAACCAGAAGATGAAACAGACCTCAACTCTGATATACTCTTAAGTAGTCTATGTTAGATCTGATTTGTTTCTTTTAAAGTTGCAAGAGCCATATGTGCAGATAAGGGCTTTAAAAAACAACCAAACAAAAGAGAGAACCCACTGATTACACAGGTAGCGGGTAGAAAAGATGCTGTCATGTGAAGCATGAACATGTGTCTTAGTGCTGGCAGACTGATCCAGTTTTCATCTAACTTACTGCTGTGGCTTTGCCGAATCTTTTCAGTAGAAGTTTGTTCTTTTGTTACACAATTGCTTAGCAATTACTGTGTAATACGGATCCACTCCCAAGCTCAGTGTGAGCAATAGCTGTGCAGCCGGACCAGAACTGACAGTTTCATGTTGAGCGCAAGCCGTGACATTGCTCGAGTGAGGCCTTTGAGGTTTCCTTTGGCTTGGGCTGAGACTCCTACAAAGAACAACTACAAATTAACCAAAAGAAGAGGCTTTCTTTGTGTCCATGTAGTGGAAGGTGAATATTTGCGAGGAGAAGCTTCATACAATAAAAAGAATCCTCTGCTGTTTCCTTTTTTCATAGCAGTTTCAATCTAAGCTATGTTCACTTCAAAGGACTTGTTCTGCAGCTGCTGCAGGCCTGACTAGGTTTGTAGCTGCCAGTTTTAGAAGAAAACCTGTCAGTCTAGGGGCTCTGGGGTTTCTGATTATATTTTTCTACATCCCCATGCAAGAGTGTAAAGTAACCAACCATTAAGGAGTAGAAGCAATCCTGCATCTTTGGAGAAGGAGCCTTGCAGAGTTCAGTACATCTAATAAATTAGGACCATGTCTCTTAAACTTGGGCTGTAACTCTACAGCCAGTTGGAAGGAACACTCTCCCCTTTTCAGCTCATCTCATGAGGAAAAGATATGTATCAGCGGAAAGTGTTGTTAGAAATTGGGATGAATATTTCTCCTGAGGGTAGTAAGAAGTGAATTAAAGACAGCATCATATAAAACCATCCTAGTTTCATTGCTTTTGAGAATTGGGCCTCATATTTAATACTTCGGTTAAGAAGAATTGTGGTACTACTGGCAGTGACTGTTTTCCTGAAAATGAATAAATTGGTCACTTGTTTTAGGAAGGATGCTTGTAATAACAGAGTAATTGTGAGTAATTGCTTCATTTGCAGTATGTTAATGGCTGACGTTCTCCCAATCTATTTTTATTTGCTAATGTCTCTTTTCCCATCTCTTTCCTGAACTTACTTCTTTTCCACTAGTTATTTTCTGTTTGATGTGCTTAATAAGTAAAGCTGCTGTTGTGTGTTTTGTGGGGATCCAGTTTATGAACCAACAGGTTGGGTTTTTTTTCTTTTTTGGTTATTAGATGCTGTTCAGATCAGGGTTTTTTTGGCTTAAAATAAAAAAGGCTGTGTTTAGTCCAAGATCACCGTTCACTTTTTACCAGATGCTTGAGACTTGTAACTCTTTGAAGTTTTATAAATAATTTTTAGGACTAAATCTGAAAGCTCTTGTTCTCTTGAGAAATTCCCAGTTCTCATTTGCATCTTGACCTGCAGTTGTGTCAGTGATAAAATCACATCAGCTCTC